AATAAATGATAAAATCACTGCAATTGTTTCCTTAAAGAATAGTATATTTTTAAACATAGTGGTTATCTCAAGTCTTTATAACAACTTATCCACTTAAGGGGTAGGAGGTGGGAGGAGGACTGCTACTGATCTAGTCTCCCTGTTTTAACTTGTAATCTTCACTGTAGGGAATCAGAAACATTCTGATAACTAAATAAAGCACAATGTGAACAGGTAATGAGGTTAAGATGTAGATGTATTCTCATAAAACAGATATGTGATTTCATTGCAAAATGAAGGATTTCAAAATATAGAAAACAACACCAACAGACAAATGTTTTATGACATATTTTTAAAATCATGGTAAATTATAAACAATGAGCATTTAAGTACAACTATGTACATCAGTGGTAACAAACTCACATAGAAATAGGGGCCACTAAACTGTCCATAAGGATCCTTACAGACCACATATTGACTTAGAAAACTAACATGATTTATGTTTTATTCAATTTTATTGACTTTATTAAATATTTTCTAATTATATTTTAGTCTGACTTCGGTTTCACTCAAAAGTACTGTGGACTACATTCAGTCTGTGGGCCACGTGTTTTACCCCCATTATGTACACTTCTATGAGATAATGAGTTGCAAAAGTCATAGATTCTTGTCCCATCTTCTTGTGTCATTTCTTCCCCAAGAACAGGAAAAGAGTATTTGTTTGAAGTCCTAGGTTCTTGTCCCAATTCTGCAGAGAGAGAGAGAGAGAGAGAGAGAGAGAGAGAAAGAGGATAGATTTGTTCTCTGGCCCCCTGAACAAGTAACTGGACATCCCATTCATAGTCTTGGTTTCTCTAGGTATTTGACTACTCTTTAGTTCTTCAAGGACCCTTCAAACTTTGAAATTCTAATATGTACTTAAGTGTTTAGTTCTGCAGTGAACATGGCTGCTCTAACATCACATTTTAGTGGGCATGAACTCATCTTTGGTTCTGAGTTCAGCCCTAATAGTATTGTACTTTTTCTAATAATGTGATAATGGACTAACACACAGGAAAAAATAATTTCCATATAACTGGCGTAATTTTCTCATTCAATACCCTGGGGTGGTCATTTTTGAAGAGCCAGCTCTTACTCAGCTATCGTATTTCACTGAGTACCATCAGTGATGTACAATTTGCTGTGCATCAGAGTTCAATATCCTGTTGGGTCATCATTCTAATTCAGTGCATGTTCTTCTTTTTATCAATACAACAATCACCACGTGCTTAGGGTCATTGTTCAAGAGAGAAAATAACATTATTTTTATCCAATAATTGTCAGACAAATGTATTAGTCATCTCCAGATAACAGATGATACCAATTAGTGGCTGTGTTGTCCTAGATCCTGGAAAAATCTCAATGGCTAAATTAGCACAGAAAAAGAATAGGGGACTTATATGTATTATAAATATATCTATATAATCTATGTGTGTGTGTATCTTTAATAATATATTGCCTTATATAATTTTTCCTTCTCAGGGTACTACTGCATTTTACTTCAAAAGGAAGTAAGAGTTGATGGAAAAGCTAAAAATTACTTCAGAATTATACATTTCAAAGTGTCATTTTTAATTTTGAATATATAGTAGTAGGCAAGAATCCTTTAAGAATAGGTGGGGGGAAGGAGGAAATTGAGTGTTCATATTAAATTTCAACATCCAAGATCACTCTTTTATGGATAATGGATTTCCATTATGGATGATTGAGTTCATGCTTTATATAGCTTCCCTTCCTTCTGAAATAGATCTAATACATTTTATTTTTTTTAAATGTGACACCATGTAGTATCTTGGTAATTTTCCTACAGATCCATTTGGAACCATACTCCAAAAATTCTCAAATGTTCTTATGTGTTTCTTAATTTGTCTGTGGCTTGACCAAAGCTGGTTCTATACTTCATTCATTCAATAAGATTTCTTAAGTGCCTACTGTATGCTAAGTACTGGAGATAAAAAGCCAAGTGCTTGACCTAAAGGAGCTCACATTCTACTTTGGGGGAAGCAATATGTACATAGTTATTTGATATTTTTTATTTTTTTATAATTTTTATAATTTATTTTACTTTTAATTTATGGAATAAAATAAGTATTTCCATAACAGTATAATAAAAAAGATGATTGTACATAAAATTGGAAATCTATTATGTACAACTTACTATTCCTTTTATATGTGTAATAAAGTTATTATGTAAATTTCTTTTTTTTCCCTTTTTTCCCTCCTTCCCCCCCCCCCCCCCCCTTCGACACAAATAGATATATATGTAAAATTATTCTACACATACTTCTAATTATCAGTTCTTTCTCTGGATGCAGATCTTTCTTCATATATCCTTTATTGTTAATTTGGAAGGAAGATAAAATTCTGAGGAGGGGCAATCATGGTTGATAAAAAGAGAACACATTCCAGAAGTAGGGGACATTTTATGCAAAAGCATAGAGGCAGAAGATAAATACCATGTAAAGGAAAGAAGTAGAGCAGGTTAGCTAGAATGTAGTGACAGAAAGAATTCAGACTTTTATCTTAAAGGAAAAAGGAATCCCTGTAAACTTCTAGAGATTAATTATAGAATGTGTGTATGTGTGGGTGGGGGGGTGGGGTTGTTTAATTCAATTAAGCAATTGATTGAATTAAAGCAGATTTTTTAAAAAATTAGATAAAATCTTAAAGTCTGAGGGGACATTCGGAGGTTAGTTTGTCCAACAGAAATCTCCACCACGATATCCTTAACAAGAACACTTCACTATCTTCCAAAGCAGTTCGCTCTGTTTTTGGACAATTCTATTTGTTTGAAAATCTTTCTTTATATTGAATAAATATCTTCCATCTACTAGTCTTTAATCTTCTAGATCTATATAGAATAAGCCCATTATTTCTTGTATAATGTTCAAAGAGGACTTTCAGATCCTATTTATTTCCCACCATATTCCTCCAAGTCTTCTCTAGGCTACCATTCCCTTGAGGTCCTTGGTTTGTCGGGGCAGTGGTAATGAAGAATCACACTGTTCTCTCCTCTCAAAGAAACCAGTGATATTTACTGCTTCAACTTCTTACATAATTTCTCACATAAAAATTTACACCTAAAGGTTCAAAAAGCAAACAACCACACTTCCATATGAAACTGTCATTTTTACATATTCTAGTCATTTTCCTTTGTTTCTCAGAAGTCATGAAATCCTCTCATAAATCTTCATTATGCCAAAATTATCTCACTGAAAGTCACGCAGCATTTTTCCTTATATCTTAAAAGTGACAGATAAACATTTAAAGGCCAATTTACAGCACAATTGCTAAAGCAGGAGATATGCTAGAAAAAGTACTGGATTTAGAGTCAAAAGACCTGGGCTTGAGCTCTGAAACTGTCATCCAGTAATGGTGGGATTATGGGCAAAGCACTTAAACTTTCCCTTCCCTTTTCATCTCATCTCTAAAATGAGAATTACATCAGTTATACAAGGTATCTTATAGGGATAATGAGAAAGAAGGGCTTTGTAATCTTTAAGATGATATATAAATGTTACTATTGCAGCTTAATTTATTTATTATATTGTTCCCCTCCTCCCTCCAAACTAAAATATTTTAAATAATTTTATTTTAAATAAAGTATTTTAAGTAACTTAAATATTTAAATAAAATAATTTAAACATTTTAAATAAAATATTTGAAATAATTTAAGTATTTTAAATTAAAAATTTTAAATAATTTAAAAAAATATTTAAAATAAGGTCTCAAAAAAGGAACTATATAAATGGAGGCAACTCAAATAAGTTATTGGTTAATCGAGACAAGTTAATGTTTAAGAAGATATGGGTTGGTAAGAAAGTTTATGGTAACTGATTTTGCAAGAGGAAATGTAATAGATTTCTTCATAGCATGTTTTTCTACATGAACATTTCCTTATAGACACGAATGAACTTAAGGAGGGGGTGGCCGTGATAGGCTCCTGTTGAACTATAAACTCTTAGTGTCCTGGTATGTTCAATGTCATCTAATTATTTTGCCTCCTCAAGCTTTGCAAAGCACACCCAAGAGTTATTTCATGTTAGGAAAGTGAGACATATTAGATATCACTAAATTGTATAGAAACATTAAAATATAATATCCAGAAATATGTTTTAAAGACTGTCTATTCCTGCATGTCTCTTATTTATCTGTACTTATATCCTTTAGGATTTTTGTGTTTATTTGGTTTAGTTTTTATTGCGCGGTAAAAGTTTCTAGTGATTTACAAGACTTTTCAGACATCTCAATTCTATCTCACTTATTCATTTTTCATTCAACAAATATGTTTTGAGGACTATGAGACACTGTACTATTGTAGGTCTTATATCCCTTGAAAAATTTAAAGGGTAGGTATTATTTTATGTAGCATAATCCTTGCTGTTTAATCTTCTGTTTGTTGTAGAAGGTATATGCAACACATAAATGGGGCTCTATGAAGAAATACTTTATATTAATAGGAATATGAAGAAACTCTTTGTTACGTAATATGAAAGGCAGATGTTTTAAAGCGTCCTATTGGATATTCCAAAATGGATGATTTGAGATTTTAGACTCAACTTTTTTTTGAGGGTCATAAATCAGCATTTATTATTTAAGTTGAAGAACAGGTTATAAAGGGTGGCACATTCATAACAGAGTCCAAGGTGGAGCCTTAGGGGAGAGGGAAGAAGGGAGGAGACAGGGAGCTGAGAGGCTCTCCTCTGTGTCTGTTCTAGGTGGGGTTGATCCTGATTCCTGAGTCCTGGTCCAGGGCGCACAATGAAGCACACCATGAGATGAGGTTCCAGGGGTATAGGTTTAGGAAACATCAAGGGGTGGCCAAAGTTACACATCCAATCAGAGGAGGGGGCTGGGATTTTCCTTGGATCAGCAGCACCGCTTTCTTTTAGAAACTGAAGCATTGTGATAAGTTCCATCCCACTTATTTCAGCTCTTAGGAAACATTCTTGTAGTTAAAGTCTTTGTGCTAAAGAATTCTTTCATCTCCTCTCTAACTTCTTGTACTTTGCTTCTAGTTTCTTTGAATATACATCCAACTTGCAGACTGCCGGCTCAAAAGCTGCTACTTGCTCCTCAATTAAAGTGATCCGATCCAGATAAGGCTGAAGTGCTGCAGATTTAAGGTTTAAGTCCTTCAGGTTTCTACTTAGGTTTACTGCAATATTTATCATTTCTAGATACTTCAAGCCAGTCAGTTTGTTCATATTTTCCAAAAGTTTATAGTCTTCACTGGTGGCTGTTAGCTCACCTGTTAGGTACGTGGCCATTTTGGAGCACATGTCCTGGCACAGCCCCATGATGTCCGCCTCGGCTGGCTCCGTGGCCTCCGGGGCTCCACCACCACATCGTCTAGGCTGGCAAAGGGAAGAAGGAGAAAGAATGGAGGGAAGGATGGGGAGGGGGGAGGGGGGAGAGAGGGGAGGGGAGAGTAAGGGATGTGAGGGGAGGGGCTAGACTCAACTTTTCTGAAAGATAATTTATTATTTCCATCCTCCCTCAATCCATCATACTTCCAAACTTCTCTATCTTTGTTAAAGGCACCACCTTTCTTCCATTCTCTCAAGTTTTTAATTTATCCTTATTTACTCTCCCTCACTGGGTAAGCAAGCCAACATAGCTGAAACAGTGGGGCACACTGAGAAAGAAAGGAAGAAGTATGTGCCAAGCAGGTCAAATTACCACCACCACCTTGAACACCATCTCCCCTTAGACGCAGGTATGGATAGACCAGGGGTGGGGAACCTGCAGCCTCAAGGCCACATGTGGCCTTCTAGGTCCTTGGGTGTGGCCTTTTGACTGAGTCTAAGTTTTACAGAACAAACTTCTGTGAAGTTTGTATTCAGTCAAAGGGCTGCACTTGAGGACCTAGAGGGACACACATGGCCTTGAGGCCATAGGTTCCCCACCCCTGGGATAGACCATGACTCTCAGCCCAAGAGCCTTGGGAATGGCAGTCTGCCAAACAACCAGACCTGCTTCTAGCCCAGTTCCCATAGCCATAATTGAAGGGAGAATTCATTGCAGAAAAGGTCTTTATCTTCCTCATCACCACCAGAAACAAGTGCTGACCAATAGGAAAATTATCGCAAAAGCTTTTGAAATGGTAGTGCCCCCTCCTCCACCTGTTCTGTTTCCAGCCTAGCCCTCATTCATAGTCATCATCTAGGGATGCGAATCCTGTGGAGAAAGGTCTAAGCCATCCTCACTGTATTGAGGGCTATCTCCAACATGTAGCATGAGGGCATCATTTTTTGGCTCAAAAGGGAGGCAAAATAGTCCCATTTAGACTCTTCCCCTCACCCCCCACCCTTCTCTGAAAGAGACTATAATTCTTTTTAGGAAGGGAAGCAGGAGGTTGGAGCCAGAATCTCAGCAACTCCACTCTCCTTATAGAGAGAGGATTATATCTATCTGTCTTATATCTATCTGCTCCTTTAAATATTCTTTGTCTAGGGAATGTGATTTTCAGACTTCTGATCACTGCATCATTAATTATGAGGGGAAGAGAATAGGATACGAAGCTTTATATCTAAGGCTTGACTCCCCACCCACCAAATACCAGTTCCACAATGAACACACACAGGAAATAGCCAAGAAATCCATTTATCTAAGTCCATAGCAAAAAACAGAAATAAGATCAAAGTATATATAGGAGAAAATATGCCAGACAATACAGAGTAAATGAACTCTCCCATCAAGAACAAGACAAATCAGCTCAACAAAAGAACAGAGACAGAGAGAGACAGACAGACAGACAGAGACAGAGAGAGATAGAGACAGAGAGACAGACAGAGACAGAGACACAGAGACAGAGACAGAGACACAGAGACAGACAGAGACACAGAGAGAGACAAATAGAGACAGAGAGAGACAGAGAGAGTCCTAGATGTCACCAAAGGGGAAATTCCCTAGATCTCTAGTGAAGCAAGATGGGAATAGGGACACAATGAAGACTGCCAGCTCTCCTCTCATGTCGGCTTCTTCCCTGAGCCTTTTTCTTCAGCAACTTGAAGTGGGATTGGCATCATCTCCCAAGCATGAAGAGAATGAACTTCTCTCTCCCACTCTCACAAGCTCTAATCTGCTCCTCCCACAGGTTCAGGACACTGATCTCCACCAGTAAGGAGACAGTCCCATACCAATGGGTTTTGGGACTTGTGTTACTTTACCAACTGTCACTCACAGGGCAGCTAGCCAGTCTAAGTGAAGCAGTGAGACACCCCAAGGGAAAGGGAGGAGGTAACAGCCACTACCACTTTGGCCACCATCTCCTTCTAGACCCTAATAGAGACATTCAGCACTCTGAGCTCAAAAGCCTTGGGAATAACAATGCTTCCAGCTCAATACCCAGAGCCGTAATCCTGAGAATCAAAACTTGTGGAAATGCAGCCTGGCAACTGCTCCTGAAGGTACTACAGACAAAGGTACTGAATATCCAGAAAAGAAAGTTCTTGTCACCAAAGTTCTCACCACTTCCTTCCTCAATTGATTCAGTACCTGACATAATCTTTCTCTTCTCTCCAACTCTTACCCTCATATTAGAGGACTTCAGCATACATATGGACACACTCAAACACCTTAATTATTCAGTTCCTCAACCCACAGGAAGTTCACTTCCCATGACTTACTCCTCTAAGCCACCTCAAACATATACAAAGATGGTCATACCCTTGATCTTGCCATAATGAACAAATGTATTACCTCCATGTTCAAGAACTCTGTAAGGGGACTTCATAATATAATAAAAAATAATAATAGCCAGTATTTATGTAATTCCTACTATGTGTCAGGCACTGGGCTGTTCTTTGCAAATGTTAATTCATTTTATCCTCACAACAACAGGGGTAGGTGTTATTATTATCTCCATTTTACAGTTGAAGAAACTGAGGCAAACAAAGGTTAAATGGCATGCCCAAGTTCATACAGCTACCAAGTGTTAGAGGTAAGATATAAAGCCCAGAACTCTGTCAACTGCAACAACTGTTGGCTTTCCAGCACTGCATTTGCCTTCCCAAACCAAACCCTATTCTTTGTTCATGTAGTGACTTCCAGTCACTAGACCCCTCATTTCTCTCCTAGGCCATCACTTCCTCATTAGCCACTCTCTCTCTTTTCTTCATCTTAACACTCTGGTGAATTAGCTCAACTCTACATTATCTTTTTCTCTTAAGTCCCTGGCTCCCTTTTCATACCACCAATTTCACAATGACTAGCTTCAGTCTTGGATCACTCCCATCATCTGCTGACACCACTCCTACTACATCATTTACTATTAAACAAAGGTGAAAAAATCATGTAACTATTCTGACTGGGTCTGCTACAAATTTGTCACACAACTTTAACTGAGCCCTGTGACTGCTAGACAATCCTTCTATACTTCCTTTATCAGACCACTATCCCACCTTCCACATCTTCTAAACCTTTTAATCCCTTCTTAAATTTCCAATAGTCTCCTCTCCCCCCACCCTCTCATCTGGGAATCTCCCTTCATATTTTACACACACACACACACACACACACACACACACACACACACACACAAAATCGAGACCTTCTGCTAAGAGTTTCCTCTTGTCCCCTCTTTTTCATACCACTCAAATGTCTTCTGTTCCATCTCCTCCTTCAATTCTGTCTCATATGAAAAAAGTGATCCTATTTCTTGCCAAGGCAAACCCCTTTACCTACACAAGTGATCCCATTCCATCCTGTCCCTTCCAACAGATTACCCCTTCTGTCATCCTCAGTCTTTCACTTATCTTCAATCTCTTTCTGCATACTGACTCAACTCTTCCTTCCCTACTGCTGACAAACATACCCTTACGATCCCATTTCCCCATCTATAGTCTAGCTTCTGATGCCATCATTATAGGAAAACTGCTCTATCCAAAGTTTCTAATGATCTTTTAATTGCCAAACCCAAAGACATTTTCTCAATCTTAATTCTTCTTGACCTTTGTGCAGCTTTTGACCCCATCAATCACCCTCTTTATACTTCATCTCTCTAGGCTTTCAGGGCACCACTCTCTCCTGATTCTCTTCCTCCCTATCTCACCACTCCTCAGTTCCCTTTGCTGTATAGTCATCCAAGACATACTTGTTAACTGTGTTCTGTAAAGTAGAGCTTTGTCCTGGGCACTCTTCTCTTTTCCCTCTATACTACTTCACTTGATACTCATCACCTCTCATGGACTTAATTATTATCTCTATTCTGATGATTTTCAAATATGTCTTTCCTACCCTAACTTCTCCTCTGGACTCCAGTCTCACATCACAAAAATAACTTTCAGAAATGTCTAACTGAATGTCTACTACATATCTTAAACTCAACATGTCCAAAACAGAACATATCATCTTTCCCCCTCTTTATTCTCTCACCACCCAATCTTTTGCCAAGGCCTGTTGATTTTACCTTTGCAATGAGTCTCGCATAAGTCCATTTCTCTCCTCTGATAATACTATCATTCTAACATAGACCTTTATTACCTCATACCTGGACTATTGTAATAGCCTGCTGATTTGATCTGCCTGCCACAAATCTCTCCCCGCTCCAATATATCCTACATTCAGCTGCCCCCACTACATTCCTAAAGCACATATCACTCCCATATTCAATAAACTGTATTGGCTCCCTATCACCTTCATGATCAAAATTCTGTATTTGACATTCAGATCCCTATATAATCTACATCTTATACCCACCCTGCTGTACCACTTACTTTTCCATCCAATGACAGTGTTCTCTTTACTTTCCCACAAACAAGACACCCCATCTCTCAGCTCTAGGAATTTTGGCTAGTTGTCCTCCATGTATGTAATGCTCTTCCTCCTCATCTCTGACTCTTTGCTTCCCTGGCTTCCTCCAGGTCTCAACTAAAATCCCACCTTCTACAAAAATACTTTCCTAATCCCTCTTAATTCTAATGCCTTCCCTCCATTACTTAATTAAATTCCCCATTTATCTTATACATATTTATTTTTACATATTTTATTGTACGTCTTCCTTTGCTCTCCCCCATTTGATTGTGAGCTCCTTGAGAGCAGTGACTGTCTTTTGTTTTTCTTTTTATCCCCAGAACTTAGCACTGTTAGTAGGCACTTAATACTTATTGACTAACTGACTAAGGAACATGGTACCATTCAATCTGACTTGCAGCTGAAAACTCCTATATGTGTTGTTCTCCCTATTAGAATGTGAGCTCTTGGAGAGCAGACTCTCTTTTTTATTTACATAGCTATTGTTTAGTACAGTACTTTGCACATAGTAAGGACTTAATAAATGATGTATTCATGTATTCATTCATTCCCACTTCCACATATCCAATCAGTTGCTAAATATTGCTATTTCTACATCCACATCTCTCACATCCAATTTTTTTTCTCTCTGCTCACCCAGCCACCTTATTCTCAGACTTATTCTCTGACCCTAATCACCTCTTACATAGCCTTCTAGTTAATCTCCTTGCCTCAAGTCTTCCCACCCCAGATCATCTTTCACACAGTTGCCAGAATTATTTTCCTAAAGAACAGATCCAACCAAGTCAATAAACACAAGTGGTTCCCAATTGCCTCTAGGATCAAATACACATTCCTCTGTTTTGTTTTCAAAGCCCTTCACAACCAGGCCTGAACTCCTCTTTCCAGATCCATTGTATATCTTTCTTCCTTTCCACAATCTGTGATCTAGCCAAAGTAGTTTCCTCTCTACTTCTCACACATATCACTCCATTTTCTGTCTCTGACCACACACTGGCTATCCCTCAGGGCTGAGTGTCTCCTTCAAGTCTATGTTATAAAATCCTATTCTTCCTTCAAAATTCAGCTTAAGCTCTACCTTCTTTCTACATGAAGCCTGATCCCACAAGTGCTAGGCCTTTTCTCCTTTACTACCTTCCTGGTGGCACAATATATGGTGCTTTGAACTTAAAGTAGAGAAGTCTTGAGTGAAAGTATAGCCCCAGACACTTAATACCTGTGTGTCTCTAGGCAAATAATGATAGTACCTATCTTCTAGTGTTATTGTGAGTATAAAGTGAAATAGCATTTATGAATCACTTTCTAAACACTAAAGTGCTACATGAACATTATTATAATTCTTATTATTAACTAACATGTGGTTCTTCAATCCATAATCCATTTAGCCATTACAATGATTTTCCTGAAGCACAGGTGCAATCATGTTATCTCTTTACTCAAACTCCAGTGGCTCCTGATTGCCTCCCGGATCAACTACAAAATGTTCCACTTGGCTTTCAAAGGCCTTCCCAATCTAGCCCCCTCCTACCTTTCCAGTCTTCTTACACCTTACTCCCTGTAATGAAAAACCTTACTCCTCTTCATTCCAGGGACACTGACTCCTCACTGCTCAGTGAAAATGATACTCCATCTCTTAGATCTTGGCATTTTTTCTGGCTGTTCCCATACCTGAAATGTGTTCTTTCCTCTACTCTGACTACTGAACCACTGAATTACCAAGCTTTCTTTAAACAACAACTGCCATCTTTTATTGGGAGCCTTCCCCAACCCCTTTAAATCTAGTACCTTCCCTCTATTAATTATTTCCTATTTCTCATGTATATAGTTTGCTTTGTACATATTGATTGATTGACATTTATTATAAGCATATACTTATTTTTCCTATTACCCATATATGTTCTTGTCTCCTCTGTTAGAGTGTTATGTTCCTTATAAGTAGGGATTTTTTCATTGTTTGCATTTGTATCCCTGGCACCTATCAAATAGTAGGTAGTTAATAAATGTTTTCTAAATTACTCTTAATTGAAGATGTTCTCTTAAAAGGGCACAATGTTAAAAGAATTTTTAAAGAAGATAAATTCTAAGTCAAGAAGAAACAGAGAAGACCATTTTGCTAATGATAAGAGAGCACAAGGTAAACATACTTACATCCTTTGTTATATAACATGTTCTAATATTAGTATGAAATTAATATCCAACATGGCAGCCATCCCCAGAAA